ATTCTATACCTTAAATGTTTTATATTAAATAATATAAGTTCTAATTAAATTTTAAAAAAATTTTTAATATAATAATAATAAAATAGAAATTTATATTATTTATAGTGATAATACTTCACTCTAAGTTATTAGACATATCATAAATCAAGAACAGAAGCATCTTACGCTTCTAGTCATAAGCTAGTGACTGTAACTACTAGCGCCACCACTGAATCTAACTAACAGAAGTAGTGTTACTCATCACAGCTCTTCTTTTCACAAAGATGAAATTTCAAATACCAGGGAACACAATCACGACTACTACCAAGGTTAAAGCTATTGCTAACACTTGTATAAACATAAAAAGACTATATTAATATAGCCAATTGCATACACGAATTAATAATAAATAAGAAAAAATAAATGACTTGTACTACTATAATACAAATGACTCAAACAATTGGTGTCAATTTTAAAACAATTTCATTTGTCATTCCATGACATGAAATAAATTTTCATTTTCATTTACTAATTAAGGTAATTTAATTATACTAATTAAGGTAATAGTAACCTTTTCTATTAATTATTTAGTAATAATTTTACTAATAATTATTTGGTAATTATTTCACTAGTAACTATTTAGTAATTATTGTATCAGTAACGATTTAGTAATAATTTTACTAGTAACTTTTATATTTAATTATGTAACACAATCCAAAATTAAGTAATTTAATTCAAACTGTTGTGATCATTTGAAATCCATCTAGTAAGAACTAAATGTCTGCGAAACTACATCTTCAAATACGTATACCAAGGATTTATTCTAACCTTTGTACTACATTATGGAGCCACGCTGTTGTATTTCAACCATTGCAATCGAGCGAGACGAGACAACAAATCGATTCCTTATTCGATTCTAAAGAAACTATAATGGAACGTTCGCTGACTTACAAATGATATTAACCCTTCAGGGAAAACACAAGATTCCCTGTTTCTTCCTGTACATCATATACTTCGCTAACTTCACCCGATAAATTTTAAAATAACCTTACAATCGACGTCCAATATAAAATCCAATTACGAAAGGATAAGTATGACTCGTAACTCGAAGACAACGACATCAGAAGAATATAGAAATTCTAACCTCAAAACGGTTGCACTTGTGTCGAGTATGATGAAAATAGCGACACGAAATTGAAATCACATGAAAATTGTTTCGAGACAACTATAAACGAAATTGACTGACAACTTTATTTATTCCTGTGTTATACATTTCCATTTACGTGGTTTGATATGTTATTTCGTATTGCCTGAAAAGTATTTTACAGCAGGAAGAAACAAAAAGCATCTTATGCAACATGAATTACGAAAGAGAAGATAAGCTAACAAGAGTACCGCATTAGCATTACAACAGTGCTCCATATCGACTACGTATTGATATAAATACTGCAATTTACAGGTTGTCTCCTCTATTTCTTTTCCTCTGTCGGGACATAATTGCTCCAATTACAATTTGTTTGCATAACTGTACAAGGAATTAAATCACCAATCATCAACTGTAAAATCGTCATTTTTCGGTTACATGTATATACATATGCTATTATGTTATAGGTTTTCTCTCATTTGTACACAAATTATTAATTCTATAGTAAATATAGTTATCAATAGTCTAACAGATAAAACTTTATATATAATGCTTTGGATTGTATTATTTGTTTCTAATGTTACATAAATATTAAATATTCAAAGTTTTGTAAATATTATTATACAAATATTGTAGAAATAGTGTAAATTATACAGAAAAATAAATATTGATAATGACATTTTATATTTTCATCTTATAACATGTATTGCTCTATTTATATACATGAATTACTTTTAGCCATGATTATCATTGAGTTTATATTATTTATTGTATGTAAAAAAATAAACCAAATTATATGCATTTAAAATTTGTTTATATTGCTTATACTATCTTGACTATATTTAATTATATTACCTTTGCTAAGGGTAATATAATTAATAAATATGATTAAGAACAATAAAATTTGTTTATGTTACTTATACTTGTATTACCCTTGCTGTATTTAATTTCTTATTTAATTTAAATTAAATAAATATTCAAATACTTTTTTATATATGAACTATTAGATTTAAACATTTAATTAATTCACCAAGTTAATTAATGAATTTTATTAAATTTAAATTCAGATTAAGTAATTTAAATTTCTATTATCATATCAATTACAGAAAGACAAAAATATAAATTACCACAGATCTAACGTAATTGATATCTCAAATTATAGTTATTTTGTAAGCATTACAATAAACCTCTTGACCAAGAAATATATTTAACCCGATGAGTCGCGACCTTAGTCGATAAGAGCATCTCTATGTGACTTCTTAACACTTCAAGCATGTTGAATCGCAAAATATTGTGTAATGAATCGCTGAACGAGTTGCATTTATCAATTTATACACAAAAGGTAAAACAAGAAAGTGTTAAATGTTTATTGACTTTCTCGCGCATCATACGATTTTGAAAATGATATTAATATTGAATGAAACTATATTTAGCACATCAACAACATGCTTCTTATTTTACTTTCTTTTACAAAATATTTACTAATATATTTCTTAAATTTAATAAAAATTTTAACGAACACTGGAAATCAATTTGGTATATAATTAATTAATATAATTCATTAATTTTTTAAAAATATGTTGCTCCAATATTAATTTGTGACAATTATAAGAAATTAAAAAATTTCTCATTGCAAGAATTAAATATTACTTTTCTAAACAATAAAATAAAAAAATAATGTGCTATTGAACATAATTAAATTCTGAAAGTCTGACGAAAATTGCTTCATAAATAAATAAACATGATTACTAATATATTAAATACCTTGTAGGTAGCGTTTTTATAACTTGTAAACAAATAACGGGATATGAAGCTCAGGCTGGAAGTATCTACGTATATTCGTGAAATCCTCTCATAACTGTAACGAATAACATGGAGATCTTCTTGGAAACATAAATAAATCACCATCCCCAGCTGGTATTTTGCGATCACTTAAGTGTACATTTACTTCTTGTTTTTCTTTGCCACGAGAGGTGCAATGTGTTTTCCCACTTTAAGATATCATTCTTTATCCGAAAACACAAATGCTGTAAATTAAAAAATTTTTTTATTAAAGATTCTAATTAAAGGTTTAATTACGCAGAACTCATTTAATCAAATTTTTAATGAGATACAGACGATGAATGTTATAACAGATACCTTTCAATCAACTTTCCATCTTTGAGAGGTTAAGTGGCTCTTCGAATGTTTCTGTTCCTTTTCTCTTTTATATCTCCGTCTTTGTACCATTCTATTTAAATGGGAAACATATGCGTTAATTTTTGTATTATTTAATGCAGATTATTCTTTACTTAACTTACAAAGCCAAAGTTGATTGGTTAAAACAATTATGTACTCTTCAATACGTTTATCGGTCAAGTTAATTTAAATTATCCTTATACCACATATCAAGTTATAAGATGTATTGTTTATCATATACAGTTACAGGAAATGAATAAGCTGGCCTACTTTGTAGCGACATCTAGGGAGAAGCAGGGCTTGAAAAGAATCTATAATGACAGTTGAATCGAATTTGATCTGACGTTAAATGGAACCCTTGGTGAAACTTGTCACGTTAGATTAAGCTTTAAAATCACGGATATTATTAACTAACGAGAATATCAGCTTCAACAATGAACGCATTGGAAACGATGAGTTGCGAGTAAACACTGTAACATATCCATCGGTAAAAAACACAAGTGATATTACAGTTCTGCTGTAAAGTGATCTACCGTACCTGTAACCACTGTCTGAGAACAGGTGTCTGTAAATAATACATCCTTAAACAAAAATACATAATTCAAGTATTTGACATTCGAAAAAATGAAACGCAATTGATCCACAATTTAATGCGATACGACAATTCTTTTTTTTTTTTTGGTTAGGTTTAACCTACTACGAATTATCCTATCGATAAAGCAAACAATTTGTTTTGGAATCGTAAAGATTTTTAATTTTTCTCTTTTCTCATATTTTTCATTGCAAACTTCAATATAAATTGTGTTATCTGATAAGTATTCTTGACATATCTTGTACAAACTAGATAAAATCTTTTCCTACTTACGGTTTATATTGCGAAAGAATGCCAAGGATTCTTTATCAAAAAAAGAAAACAACTTTAAACAATCCATTTCAATGGAATATTTTTAATACAATATAGTATAGAACGTATACACAAAATCAGCAATCAGTGGCGAAACAGTTGTCACAGTATTTAGATATATGTTAACAAATGGTTTTAATCGTGTTTACTAAAGTATAGAGTGATAGGGTAAACAATAAAATATCGGCACGATATCAATATTCGGTACTACACTGTTTATTGCTGCTAGTGCATTCATATTAACGAATGTCATAGTCTAGCTGAGTGTCATGTAAGGAAAACGAAATTTTTGAATACAGGAATCTGTAAAAAAAATCTGAAAATACATTTATGCAAATAGTACGAAACAAAAAACACCTACTAAGGATCAAACTGTCAATCTCCGATCGGTTGATGCTATAAACATTAAGAAATATATTTGCATAATTTATAAAATAGTCAAAGTACATAACCAGAATCTCTAACTATAGAATCTGTATTTTCTTATTGCTATACACCAAAAAAATCATTACATATGTAACCTAACCTTCTAATATAAAACAACGTTAATAAACAACAAAATCGGAATAAGACTAATGTTACAACCGTAATAATAAACATTTGATATTAAATCCCTAATATAGAAATTAAAAATACATATGTATAAAAATAATCTCTTTAAAAGTAGGAATATTAGAACCTAAATATACATACGTCTTAAATTTTACGAGATAAATCGATGTAAAGCCAAAAGTAATAAAAAAGGTTCACAGTATCCATAGAAGATACATCCCATTGAATTTTTACGACCGCGGATAAATTAAACTGTTTTCTACGCAAGAAATGAGAAACATTCCAAAATAATATTCTTACAGTACGCAATCAAATGGGACCGACGAAAACATGTCAACACTTATTGTTAATCAAACACATACTGCCTGATAATGAAAGAAACCAAACAGTAATGTCGTTGGTAAGTAAGGAAACACCAATGCAATCAGTGCAATGCAGATTCCTAAGTTACTGACAAATAATATAGAAATAAAAGGAAACGCTGCCAAGCTTTAAAAACCACAAAAAATAAATTTATAATTGCTTCAAAAAACGTCTCAATAATCCAAAAAAACAAAAAAAAAACAAAAAAGAAACAAAATTATAAGAAACATACTGGCATTGAAGAAATGATACTAAAATAAAAGAAAATAATTGCTTTTTATTGTATACTTATGACTGTAGATTCAAGAATTCAAATATAGTTTCCTTGTTTGTATTAGCATATTTAATTATTGTAATTAATAATTATTTTTGTATTTCATATATATTGCAAAAAGGTATTTATTAAATAAGAACGTTAATGTCATTCCGTTATAAGAGTACATAATTTTTATATTAACAAGATTTTAGGATGACTGAATTGTCATGAATTATAAGGCTAATCTATAGCGGACGGTTGTCTGCAGAACTTCAAGATTTCTATTTTAACGACACTCTATAATCCAATACATTTTGTTTATCATTTTAGTATCATTCCCAACATTACCGATAATTATTATAACTTAGGGATTAATTGTAATAGTGGTTGAAATAGAAACTAAATTTAATTATGAAATTAGAATTAAAAGCATAAAATAAAATATTTTACAACTACAAACGAAGTATAGAATTCTAAATTTCTGCAGCCTTATAAAGATTATATCAAACAATAGTTTGAAACTGTCGTTAATTCTGTGTAATATTATTTTCCTTTATTTTTTTCTCTTTTTGATATATCCCAACTGCATAAACAAACTTTCTTCCGCAAAACTATTAATGCAAGAAATCTACTTTTACTATTAAAAAGATATGAATAAAATTTTAGTTTATAGATTTCTACATAAAATTATTTTTAAAAATCTGAGAAAATATCATTATATTATTTGAAAATTATTAAAAACATTTGTATAGATAAAATTCTTTTGCCGATTAATAGTTGATATAATCTATGAAAGATTACCTTGGAAAGTAGTTTATGTAGATGAAATAAATTTTTTCATTAGCTTCGACCTTCTGCATGAATTATTTCGCAATGAGGTATAAAATGATTAATTTGCAAATGAATTATATGTAAAAAGAGTTCAGATATTCCATAATAGTCCTATTTACCATCCGAAATCTATATCCGTGTTGTAAATAGAAGTTTCCTCTACTTTTTTTCTATTATAAAAATTATATTATAGATGGTGCGTCTGTACAGAGAAACAATAGTGGATAAAAAACATAATTCATTATCGATACCATCTTATAAGGTAATAATAATATCTGTTCGTTTTACAGGAAACAGTGTATCCTACTATCAATAAATGCGGGTCATGGTTGTAGATAAGTTTAAAACTGATGTAACGTCAATGTGATTCGAAATATTTACATTTCTAATAAAGAGATCATACTCTTGTATGCACTGCATGATTAGAAACATATACCTACTGAAAGTCATATTGACGTCACTTTAACGACCTGCATGAGCCTACACGTATAAACATTAATAGTAACAGAAATGTGACAAATATGTGTAAACAAATCTGAAATGTATGCAAACCAAATTTGAAAGCAAATATAAAAACAAGGTGGAATAAGAAAACATTTGAAACCTATACAGAAATGACGTATTAGATGCTTTTATTTTTTAAGAAATCATAAAACCACCAGTATCTTTTAATTTATATCAAATAAATAATACAAATTCCAATGGGATTATGAGAATGTGTTAATAAAAATAATTTTAATAATTTATTTCACACGTCTTTGAAATGTTCTCAAAATACAGTTTAAAATGTGTAAATATATAGATGTTAATATAGGAATGTAACAAAATAAAATATTTTTATATCGATTGATTTTACCGACGTTAATAGTCGGATTGAATGTAATTCCTAACCCCACCGCTTTAAATCGTAGAAGGCGCAACGAAACCTTTGATTCTTGTTATTCGATCGGTATTTCAGAACATAGAACATCAAGTTTTATAAAGTAAATACGTCTATCATACACCTCGTTTATGGCTGAATTTTATCTATAATTGCTACTAGTTTATGAAATAATATTTAATTTATTCATACATGAAAATATTATTTTATTAATTTAAAAATGGAGTCATGTATATACTGATACTGATAAATAATAAAAGAAACACATCAATTTGTACCTACGATAAAGAATGAACTAATGTAATTAATTATAGTTAATTATAAATTAATGAATATTAATATTTTTATTTATTAATTGATTTTTGTAAAAAATATAAAACATTTTCTTCCGTTCATAACATTATATATGTAAGTAGAAGTTTCAGGTTTTACATTTTTAGAAAATAAAGATTGCATTTATCTTCTTTCTGTAACTTTTTACATCATCGTGAACACATAACTTGAAAGAATATTATTTTTACAATAAACAATGAAATATAATATTCATAAAAATATGTCAAGAAATATTTTTATATAATTATTTTTATAACGAATATATTCGATTATTAAAATTTAGTCAACAAAACTAATACACTCTCTTAAACATCATTCTATTATATCTATGCATATACTGTACAGTACGTGTACAATTATTTTCAAACTACACATCAACGAATCAAGATCGAAAGGTTTCAGCTTTAGATTCGCCAGATGGCAGAACGGCTGTCACCTGTTACCTGAACTTTTACCTGTACAACTTTAATATCAGGGACTAACCGACCAATGACGAGCGACCCTGGGGCCTCAAGAGTCCCCACTCTAAATTGCCGCCTGGCTCGAGTGCAACAGGCTACGTAGTTCAGAAATTCATCCGCCGTAAGCACGAAAACGATTTCTAGCGTCAACTTTCGGCGCTGCTTTCATCGCATCTACGTTGCATTATTGCATAAGTTCGCGCGCGTAGTGTACTGATCTTCGTGGAGTATCAACAGTGAAAACGAAAACAGGTGAGCGATCTCTCTAAATTCGTTAAAGCTTTTCCTATTGTAAAGTGGATACGACAACCGTTCCTTCGTTAAAGCGGTATTGAATCCGCTATTCGACTAAGAGGAATTTCTCCAGTGGCACGCCAACTAAGGACATTTCGTTGAATCGTCTTTAAGGATGTGTATACTCGTGGGTGTATTTCCATTAGCTACAGCTTGCTTCTTGGATACGTGTTCTTTCTCTATATATTATCGTGAAATTATACAGTCACCTTAGCCGTATTTTACGATTAAGGTCACATGACTTCTCGTGTATTTATTGCTGCCATGTTTGAAGAACAGTCTTGCACGAGCCATAGTACCGCGTTCTTCCTGTATTTTTTTTTTTCACGATTTTTGAAAATTTTATTCAATATCGTATTATTTTAAGCAAGCTCATCAAATTTAATTTGATAATTTGAATTCATTATTCGTAATCAGAATACAATTTCGATGTTGCATTATCAAGCGTAATTCAATATTTTAGAAATTGGACAATAAATTTAGCAGGAGAAAATTTAAATTTAAATTTAACGAATTGACATATTCTTTGTGTAATCTATATCAACTTTTATCGATTATATATTAATTAATATTTATTTAGGTGAAATATTAATTATATAAAATATCAAAAATTTTACATAGGTTATAATCATGATTACATTTGTCACTGAAGAAATATTACAAACAATAATTGTTGAATGCATTGAAAAATATTTACGAAATGTAACAAATTTAGAATCTTAACTAAATTAAAATTCAATGGACAATGAACATAACCACGATTCATGAAAAGTAGAATGAATTTTAAATTTCCTTTTATTTTGTAAGTTTCATACTTTCATTTCCTATAACGATTTTACGATTAATAAGGACTTACATAACGTCTAGAATTACCCAAATTTACTATTAGTTATAAAACACGAAATTTTTGCAAAAATTTTTGTCGATTAATACACAGAATATCAAATTTGAACAAAATTTCATTTAAAAATAATATCAATTAAATTTCATTGGTGTTATTAATAACTTTAAACAACAATTTAGTTCCGCTAACTTGCCTTTCTGTACATCTTCCTGTTTCCTGTTTTATATCTAAATAATTATTCTTCACTCAAACAGTGAAACCTATATTTTAATAAATACTTCGTTAAGAAATAAAACTTTCATTTGCAAATATTTAAAAGATTATAATTTATCTGGAAAAAATTTTTTTCGTATTAAAATTATTTCAATTTCGGACATGATTTTTTCGCGTGATATTAATTAACCAACTGTAAATGTATAATATTTAAGCAACGTATAAAAATGGATTATTTGGCAACAATTTAATAGTTTATACGGGGTTTCGATAAATCTGAGCACAAAATACCAGCAGCAACGTTAATCGAAGTAACCAACCATAAATTTGAAACTCGTAGGAAGATTAAATCGTAATATGACTAGGCACAGATGTGCGGCTGCTGCTGCTGCTGCTGCTGCATACCTTTGCATGCGTATCAGGAGGCACAGATTAGTTAGTATTTTTGTGTCCTCATTGGCGCCGGCCAACTATGAAACAATGAAGCCGATAAGAAACGAAAGGCAAGGTAACGCATTCGTAACAAGAATTCGAGCTGTTCTAGAATCTTCTTTCGCATTACTATTGAAATTTCAAAATTTTTCAGAACATTAACCTAAAATGTCAACCTGAAAATCTTACGTATTGGATATATGCAATCTAACTGTAAATAATAAGTATACATATACAATTTGTACTTATTATTTTATAATTTATTTACTTTCGACAAACAGGCAGATATTCCAGAAATTTTATTTGAAACAAAGACAGCGGTAAACAAGATCTAAATATAGATGGTTATCTAGTAACTTTCTGTTCAAAACAACTACACTGTGTTGGTGACTTGTTGCCATCAATTTAATTAAATTCAATTGCTCTCAAATTAGAAGTTAAACGCCATTTCTTTTTTTATTTTAGTACACGGTGTCATAAAGAATGCGAATTTTAAATTCATGTGTCACCTTAATTAAACCTATTAAAAAAAGAACTAGATATAGTGGAATAGGAAAGTAGGACATATTTTAATAGAAATGTAAGGCATTGACATATTGAATGAATCTGAATTGAATATTTACGTTGATACCAATTTTTTCTTATTTATGTATTATATATATATTCTACATAACATTTTTTGCAAATTAAATTATCAGTGTATTTAAATAAGCCTACTATTATGAATAAATAAATAAGTTTAATTTTATTATTTTCTTGTATAATCAGATTTTGCAACCACAACGTGACACAAGTAAATTAAATGGTGTGTTGATTAAAATAAAAATGGAGAATCGTTTGGAATAAAAAATTTCTGCAAGGACTTAACAACTTGGGTGGCATTTATATCATTGAAACTGTTGATTCTGCGAACGCGTAGTCATAGTAAATGAACATTAATATTAATATAAGGCGGTAACATTTTTACGTAAGCAATGCATATGTCTGTCGCAGCATAGTAAAGGCTCCTGCAGACGATCAGATTTGTCTCGAGGCCTGGCCACGCGACGAGCGATGTGTTGAAGAATGTTCGAAACCTCTGCAGCGTATATAGTATATGGACTTTGTTCTAGCGACTAAACTAGTCGCAGGATTTCAAGACGGAAGTCCAACGATGGCTTCTTAACCTTTTGCACTCGAGAATTTTTATAGTAGACAAGAGTGAAAGTTCAAAGATTTTCAGCTATAAAGTTGACGTTATCTTTTTAAACGGTAAATAAGAAATTGTGTAATAATTAACACGTAAAATTATTTAATTTATTTTAATTATTTAATTAATTAATATCGATCTTCAAAATTTTATTTAACGATGACTGAAGGTCCCCTCTCGAGTGCAAAGGGTTTACACTGCGCAAGCGTATTCGAACGCAAACATGGAGACGACTCTTGGTCGCCTGCCGACGGCGAAGCTCAACGGGACTGTATAACACATTTATCCGGCTTATCAGCTAGGTAATCGAAACTATCGATACTCTGTTTTCATCACCAATTATCCATCCGCAGAAATTATGATAGAAACGAATAAACACGACATCCAGGACTGTACTGTTGAAGAATGGAAAATATATATTGCTTCTTGCATCCTGGTGAATGTGTAATCCAAAAATCTAATTTGCAAATGTACTGAGGTCAAGAGATCCGAGGATTACGAGGATATCAGAAAATCTTTTCTAATAACAATATTGAAGATAAAGATAATCTACAGAGGGAAATAAGAAAAATTTATGATTAAGTGTAGAAGTGGACTACAATTCAATACAATTCAATATAATTTAACACAATTCAATGTAATTCAACACAATTCAATATAATTCAATACAATTCAATATAATTCAACACAATTCAATACAATTCAATAAAATAATGAAAGCAAGGTTTGGCATTAAATTTTATAAATTATCTGATTAGAAGACAGATAGATACAGACCGGAAAGGAGAAATATAATCCTGGACCTTGTAGTACCAATCTGAGAAATGAAAGCAGAGTAGAGAATCAAGGATATTCTATTTTTATAATTAATTGGTACAATTCCCCAGAGTTTCAAAAATTATATAGAATGGAACATCTAAAACAAATTACCTGGATAACATGTTTGTAACAAGAGAAAAAAAAAGTGCAAGGAAAAAATTGTTTGATTTCAAAAGGCACGCAATGCGATGTCAATAATTTTTTTCTTGATGGAGGCATAGAGGAGACACGAAGGTCAAACTTGCTTTTCTAAGTGGAATGATACAGTTTATTATTTACATTCTGATAAAGCGTTTTAAAACATATACAATGACTTATAAATGAAAGTCGCACGATATCAACTGTAATAGAAAATAAATTGTTTCAAGTCACTCTTCGAACATTCTCTAATACATCACTTGTCGCGAGGCAGGCCACGAGACGAATCTCGTCGTCTGGAAGAGCCTTAAGAGCAGTCTGTGACAGTCCACTACGTTAATTCAACCAAGAAACAGACCTACCGCGTATTATTCTTTACAGTGTATTTGTGACGAAAATACTTTGACCAGAAAGTCAAAAGCTTAACGAAAATTTTATAGGCGGTGAGTTACAATTCTTTGGAAATTTAATTTGAGTATCAAAAACTTAAGTTCTATCCTTTATCTTAATCGACTATATTGGAAATAAATACGGAATAGGTTAACAAATATTTGGCAGCTTTACAATAGTTAAAATGTAGATTTAATTCTTGTTAGTAAATTGCGTTTTCTGAAGCGTATATTTATTTGCATAAACGAAAGTATCATATTTTAATTTTAATTTCATCATTGTGTTTATATATTCAATCTTAAATAAATATTAGAATTACAGAACGTATTGAAATAACAGAGTAATATGAGTATTGAAATAACATGATTAATTTTCTTTTAACATTGTGATTCATAATTGTAACATTAATAAGATATCAGCTTTACTTTTCACAGTACATTAAATGCTATTAATCATGAATAGCAAATTTTACAAATTTTCATACAACTTGTATTGCATACAATTTATTAATACATTAGCAATCTTCATAAAGTCTACAATTAAAATTGAATAAAAATGTATGTAGATTAATATAAAAATTCGTGCACTGATACAATATTTCCATACAATTTCTATAACTGAAAAAATGGAATATAAAATTCAACAATACAATAGTTTTTATACTATGAAGTTAATTAAGAGATTAAAATTAATCTATCTTAATATAATTAAACAACTGGTTCAAGTTTTATTACATTCCAAAAGTATACACAAAACACAAAAAAGGAAATAGAAGAAAAGATGCAATGCTCAGTGAGCACAGAATAAAACTATACTTACCTTTATAAAATCAGTTGTCGCCAAGTCGCTTAGTTCGCTGTGTCCACAACAATGATATCGGCGGAGGAATGCTTGCTTCTCTAATAATATTTCGCATCCTTGCGTCGATTCGCTCGATTGCGCAATAGCAAGGTCAGTGTCCATTCGTATAGTCTATTTTTATCCAAGGGAAACTCTGAATCTTGGTTTAAGCCACATCGGTGTTAGCGATTGTGAAAGCGGGCAGACTGCACGGTATGACGGTCAAGGTACGAGCGTCATCTCTCTCATAACCTATAACGACATATAAAGCTGCTACTCTTTTTAATTATCCAAACCGAATTCGAAATACTTTATGAATCCCATACGCTTTGTGTCGCTTTACGAACGCTCTCTTTTTAACTTCCAACAAAACGTTAAGGCTCGCGCACAATTCGGTTCATTGTTCGTATACCATGCGCTATCGAGTTGCGCAAATCTTTTTGGTCGCTAGATCGCGCTCGCAGTCGATAAATAAACGTCGTATATCGCAGTGAGCTGATATTTTTCGCTTCGTAAAGTAATTGTGAAGAACTGGAATTATCGGAACATTGTTTGACGTTAGATAAGTATAAATATTATTACATTGCTCGATTATATAATTCTACCGAAAAATTACTGTGATGTAGACTGTAATGATATAACGCAGAACATTTCGCCACAGTTGAATATCAATTCACCATCTGATTTGGAGTATGAGTCAGAACAGCAAATGTGTCGTATAAACCTGCCTATAAAATTCCGCGCTTAAGCAGATGATAAAAGTTGTTAATTTTTACCAATTTCAACGTGTTCTCTCAACAAGTGGTTTTTCAACGTATTAACCGTTTCAGTCCCAAGCAGCGCTATCATGCTCTTCAGATTTTGTGTCAAAAAATCACACTGTGCATTTCAAGCGCTATGGGCAACTGACGGTGCTATCACTGACTGTCGAAGTGGCAAAAGAAAAGCACAATCGCGTTACCTAGCACATATTATATTATATGTGCGAAATATAAGTTATGGCAAGCGCTATCGCGCCGATTGGGATTTTTGGACGTAAAATTAAACAAGCGCTATCACGCCGTTTAGAATTTTTCGACATAAAATTAAACAAGCGTTTTCGCACCGTTTGGGCTTTTTCACACTCGATTAAGACAAGAGCTATCACACTGTTCGGGGTTTTTCGACCGTGTTTTTTTAAAAGCCTCTGGGATGGTTAAGTTGTTTTGAAAGAGGCTTATCGTAAAATTAATTTGTAAATGTATTATGCATGAAAATATAAGGGAAAAAATTTCGAAAAATATAATATTCTCCGTAATTTTTTAAAAACACGATAAGCTTACAAATTAATTAAGACTAATACGGATAGTAAATAAATAATATTTTGTATGAAAAGAAGCGTTAACCTTTCAAAAATAAATTTTAAAAAAACAATTTATATAATTTTTAATCTTCAAATATGAAAGTATATTCGTTTAATTAATTTATTTTGCATAATACAATATTCTGTATAAAAGAAGCTTAACGTTTTAAAAATAAATTAGAAAAACAATCATTTATCTAATTTTTACTTTTCAAATATAGAAGTATATTCATTTAATTATTAATTTATTTTGTTCAGTGCAGTATAGTTGCTAATGACATCTTATCTATCAGATGGTAAATTTTTCTTCACTCATGAAATAAAATAAAAGAAAAAAATAAATATAAAAAAGCTAGACTTAAGTTGAAACGGAATTATTTTTTCAAAAACTAATTTGATTGATATAAATTAAATGAACGAATTGAAAGTTTACTGTCAGATGCAATATAATTATTACAATTGATCTACTTAAGAGTAATGACTCAGTACCCTTACATCAGATCTTAAGTCGTTAGTGCTCTACATAGGAATTATAAAAATCGAGCAATATCACATGTACAAGCAGTCAACATACTGCATACCAACTTCTCTCAGGTTTTCAAGTGATTGTGTTGGATCATAAAAATCACCAGTGATACAAGTTTCAAATTTATCGACAGACTTAAATCGGGACAACGGATCTGCCATAGGTCACTTTGCCAAGTTCTCAAGGTATTTTTGAAAAAATCCAAATTTTATATTCCCATATTTCATTGTGTTATTTGACTGTAACAATCGGGGAAAAATTGAATTGTAAATATTTCTGTTTATTTATTACCGAACTTATTATTAGCCATATTAAGCTCGCGATATTTTTACAAATCTTTCTATAAATAATTTATCTACTTCGAATGAAAAAATATTTACTTGCCTTCTTCGTTTATTAGGATACTATTTCTATTTTTAAAATCGTTTCGAAAACATGTATTCTTGGCGTACCTTTTGCTTACTTCAGTTATAACGAATTCGATATTTTCGTTTCTCGAATGATAATTCTTTAATTCTGTAGTGAATTTATTTGTTTGTTAAATAATCAATAATTAATAATCAAAATAAACAGGATTAACTGATTTCATTACACCAAATTTAAAATTGGTTTCAAAATTCAAAATGTTTTAAAATGTTTTGACACTCTTTACATTCTGATGGATTATATTTATTAAGAAAATTGTCTAAAATAAGGAAGGTATGACAAAATTTTATATCCTAATTTTTGGGGTTTTTATATGGTTTTTATATTTTCCATGAACGTGATTTTATGTTACGTTCTAACAGGATTTATTTCCATCTATTTAGCAACATGGATTGTTTCTTTATTGCCATGTGCATTTCACGTGTCTTCTTATAGCGTGTCATTACGGTGATACTATAAAGTCGAGTTAGTTACGGATAAGTCCTGCAGATGGCTACCAAACAGTCGCCATTACTTTCTTCGGGCAAAGTTTGGTTATGTGCATCTTTACCAGGTTTCCAATGTTTTCGACTGTCATCAGTAACGAAACGGTTTAAAAATGGATACTGTTTATTTCTTTGAAGTAACGAGCTCACTACCTCCCCCCGTCTACCCATCTGTGTATCGTTTAACTCATACAGAATCCATTTGGCTAGTTTCTTTACTTCTCTTGTTCGTTTCAACTGACGCTATTCCTTCTGCTATTTATTGTACATTATTTCGAATACGTTTTCTGATATTCCACTTATTTATTTTGTAGCGAGAAAAATATCAATCTTAAATTTCACGAACTAATTATCCAAATATATAATTACGTATTTGTTCAGGTTAGGTTAGGTTGTTGTAATTTATATTTACAGTTTCGCCTTTTACATTTATTTTAAGAAATAATTTAAGAAAGTATCATACGAAATTAAAAATTGTATAACTATTTTGACTATTCGTGACTACTAAAAGTGAGCTATTAACTTTTCTTTTTATAAATCTTGTTAGCAGTCGGTATATGCACATTATAATCATTTTTTTTTTTCATGTAACTGATAACAATTGACGAGACGATAAAATTTAAATTATGATATTACCTCGAAAAGAAATTGCCTATTATACTTACAAACACGATAATAATCAATTTTTCTTAATTAACGGGTGTAAATAAAATGCTTTTATAATAACCGTTTTATTTATTTTTAATGAAAAAAATAATATTATGTAATACTATTATGTATATTGACAAAATTAAAATAATGCACAGAATAGTTTAATAAAATGGGCCCAGTGATACAACTTCAGGAAATTATAATGATAATAATTAATAAACTATAATATAATAATTAAATATATAGCAATAATAATGATAATAATTAATAAAATGTAATATAATAATTAAA